AACCATTCTATGAGTCTATGATTCTATGACTGTCTCAATTCCCCCATTTACCTCTACTATATATATATGACAAACTAAGATTTGAAATACATCAGGCCCTCTATAGCAGTTCATAAGCTGGCTCAGGGACCTGAGGACACCCCCGGGCCTGGCTGTCCCTGCCCTGGGCTCCGGGGCCACCCCCACCGCTCAGGACCCCAGGTAAACCCCCCCGGGGCTGTCAGCCCCTGCCCCAGCAATGCCGCAGCAGGGCCAGTCTCCAGCTCCCCCCTGCCCTGCCCAGCCACGGGCTCTGCAGAGCTGGGCTCACCCATGGGCCGACATCCCAGCCTGGCCTCAGCTTGTCCCTATCCCCAGGGAGGTGCCCAGCACTCCTGGCTGGGGTGGTGGGACCAGGGCCTGTCCTGACAGCCGTGTCACCGCACTGTGTTGCCAGCTCCCTGTTTCTTTGGGAGCAGTTGGCCCTCACAGTGTCCTGACATTCTGTCCCCAAGATGAACTGCAAAACTTTATTTTAATTGAGACATTTTAAAACAATAGGTTAACAAATAACGATTTTGGCAAGTATTTTTGTGATCTTTTATAACAAAGAATACTTAATGCATTCCCCCCCCCCCCCACTCTTTTTATGCTGTCCCCCCCCCCCCTTTTTTTTCCAGCTTTGAACAGCACACCATCACACTGACACCTCAGTGGCTAACCTTCTCTCTATTTGAATGATTATTAGTCTAAACATAAACCAAAAGTGCACAAGGGCATGTCATTAAGCAGTAACACTTTGCAGATTTCAAATAGTCTGATCTTCAATTAGAAATTAATTTTTTGTTGAAGATGTTTATAAACATTTGCATTTTACTAAACTACACATTCATTCTATATATGTCATTACATTAGTTATCCCCTGCAATGACACTTCTGTCTCTTGCTGTGATTCTGAATAGGAACATGAAAATACCTTCCTTTTCATGTACATTAAAAGATGTTGTGTAAATGCTACAATTACTCCGCAGTGATGTATTCCAAATGAGACAGAGATGTAGCCAGGTAAAATCTGCTTAAATTTGGGCAGCTCTAATGCATTATGTAATGATGATTCCATTAGGAACACAGATTTTAAGAAAATAAGCAAAGGATACATCAATAACTAGGTTACGCTAACTGCTTTTTCCATGTGTTATCCCTGGCACATTCACACTGTAGAAATCACATGTGCTGCCTTGTGAACCACAGCCCTATTCAAAGCAATAACGTATGGAAGATGGTAATGTGTGTTGTCTGGATCTAGCCTTCAATAGATCATCTTTTATAGTCCTGCCCTTTAAAAACCTCTCAGTCCCGAGTAGGTCATGAAACTTTGGAAATATACAAGCAGAATAATGGATTTAAATGAATATTTGACATCATCTGAGACAGAATATTGACCATGGTAACAACTCCACTCAATAGAATGCTTCCCATATGAACCTTAATCTCAGGAATTTACAATCCATGTTACACCCCTTCTGATAGGCCATATTTAGCAAATGATGGACCAGCATGTGTTCCAGCTTTGATTCTTTACTCTAGGCATATAATTCCATCAGATTACCTCTCTCTGAGAGTTTTCTTGGTTGAGGAAACTTATCCAGCAGCAATTATTACATACTTACAGAGCTTTTAAATAGATTACACAGGCCTAAGTGAAGTGGAGAATTTTTTCCCCTGGAAAGAGGGGAAAAGTAACAAAAACATTCCTAGGGAAAAGGGACAACCCAAAAATTGGGCAACCCAAACATTATTTGGTTTGGGTTCAGTTATTTGAACCTTATTATGACAAAAATGTTGCCTCCCTGGCATTTGACTAGTCCCAAACTGGGTTTCAGGGATGAAAAATACTGAAAATAATTTTATTTAAGTAATGCAGCTGTACCTTTGGCATTAGATACATTATAATAGTTCTGCTTGCAGAGGTGATTTACAGTGAGAAGGTATTTTTAAAGAAATAAGAAACATACTCAAGACAAATACTTGAGAAGACAGTAATTGTTTAAAAATAAATGGCTCTAAAAATGCAAACAAGTTTTCTTCAGAGGAGGTGGCGGTCTAACAGTGCTGTTCTTAATTTCTTTTCCTTATCACAGAGGGGATAGGAAACAATCCTCCCCAGCCCTAAATCTGGAGCTTTCTCAGGGAATACCTATATGGCAATCTCTTATATTCTTTTGCTCTCTGTTTCTTTGCTTTTACTGAGCATAGTTACCATAGAGACAAACAATCCTCAAAGGCTTTCTGCCCCCACGTTCTCAAAGTGAGTTGCTGGGGAAGGAAAGGCTTTAATATCTTTTTCTTTTTCCAGTGTTCTGTTAGTATTAGATATGACTTGTTCTGCCCTCAGCCCATATTCAGCAACAAAAAAGATGAAAAAAATTCCTTCTTTCCTTCCCTCTCAAACCCTGCCAAAGCTGAGACAGAGACACCAGAAGCCAGCATGTCTTCGTCATTAGAATTTAACTATCAAAATAAACAGAAAGACAAAATGTAGGATAACAGTGACACTTCCATTCCTTGGAACGGATATGTATTTCATTATGTATTTTCATTTGTCTTTTTGAAACACACCATGTAGTTTGTTTATACAGACTTTTCATTACTTACTTATTAATATATGCTGCCAAATAATTTTCAGCATATTACAGTGAAATGTACTTGGTAGACAAATTTATATTGTGCGTGCTAATTTATAGTGTTTGGAAAAAAAAGCAGTTCTGTTTACAGATTAAGTTGATTCTTTCTAATGCATAAAAATGTGTATATTTAACAACTTGCTATTTAAAATAAAATGTTTATGTTGGATATATTTCTCTTTTGGACTTTAACTTATTCTAAAAATTCTAGTAGATAAAAGCTAAAATGTATATTTTAAAAACTAGACCAGACCATCTATTAAAGATGAGTTGCCTTCAAAGTGGTTTTTGAGAGAAGGCTATAGGATTTCGTATATCTTTTCATTAGCTTATGGTTCTATGGAGTTCCATGTGCTGCAGAATTTTACCTTATACCAAAAAGAAGAAAACATGACTGTGTGAAATCTAGCAAACTGATAGCAGGACAACAGATGACTAAGGAAAATACAAGACATATTTTGATCATTCACATCCAAAGTTAAAATTCATCCATTCCCATTTTTCCCAAGATCCCTTGCCACAGGGAATGGACTAGTAATTTCTGATTAATGTGGATATAATATTAATTTTAAAATGGTCTGTAGAACTGGGGTTTGTTAAAACCACATGTAGGCGTTTGCGAATACTGTGATTTGATTTTTTCCTGTTTTTTTCCCCCCCATTTTTTCCTGGTATTTTCTTCTCTCTACTTTTTCTTTTTTTGGGGGGGTTGCAATCCATGACAGTGACTTTCTAGAGGTTTTTTTCCTCTTATTTCCCTCCCTGATCACTTCATCCTGTAGAGAGTGATCATGAGTTTTGGAATACAAGAGGTTATGTCAGCCTGGAATTTCAGCAATGCTCACTTTATCTGTTATTTCCATTTATTAATTTAGTATTTAGGCAGTAGAGACAATAGTGGGATCTTGTTTATCAAAGTGCAGATACCTGGTGCAGGAAATAACAACATGCCTTTAATTGCATTTATAAGTGTTTAAATAACTTGAACCTGACTATTCCATTATAAACTTCTTTAAAAGAAAAAAGTTAAGGTAAGGAATGATATTCACAGCCAATTTTCAAAAATAGTAAAAGCTTGCAGAAAAGGAAGGCAAACAATTCCTGATACTAGCAAGTAACAGAGATTATATATGCTACAAGACCAACCTGTAGGTTTAGATTCTTCTTTATAACCTGCAGAGTCACTGGACTGTTTCTGGGGCATTTGTTCAGTTTCAGGTGGAAGCTGCTCATCATCGTCCTCAAATTCTGTTGGCACAAATAAAATCATTAGTAACTTTAACAAACCCATTGAGGGGTGATGGAGGCACTATAGAATTAAAGATATTTTTTGATCACACTGCAAAACTTGTATCTGATCACCTGCAAAAAAGGAGTTAGTTACTTTAATGCTCAGGTATTGCATGCTGACCAAAACATTTTAAGATCAGCTACCTGATCTGTGGGGAAAGGCAGACCATCTATCAAATGTCACATGAATGTGAATAAAGTGGAGAAATACTTTCTTTAATTCAGTGCTTTTGTGTAAGAATATTTTTCATTCATTATAATCTATTTGTTCTGGGCTCAAACTACGCTCCAAAACAAGACTTTGCAGAAGAGTGCACTTGGTGTTCTACAGAACAGCTCGTATTGGGCAGAAGTGCTTCTGTCTTGAAGAAGAGTTTGTGCACCTAAAGGCTGGTGTAATTTTTCTGACTGTATCAGTTGGTCAATAAAGAATATTACTTTTTCCTACAAACCTTGTTTTGCTTATGCCCTTGGACAATTGTTAGATTAATAAAACACGACTAGTAGATCTCAACATGTTATGATTACCCAAAACTCAAATCATATTAAACAAAAATGTATTTTAAAATCTGAAATGATGGCATTTGTTTTCATGTACATCTCTACTTTTGGCAAAGAAACCACAAACATAATGAAAACTAGGTTGAAAACATTGACATTTTGATTTATGCAGAATCCGAAAGCTTTATCTGGGAAACAAGCATCTTCTTATATGGTTAGCAGATAAAAACCCACAACCTTTAGCATGTGTCAAATTGAGAAAATTCTTTACTTACTCTAGTTCTTTATTTCCTTTTGATATATACAGGAATACAGTCAAGCAAAATGAGTTTTGATGCTCTGTAATAAATAATTCAGGAATCCATAGTATACACAAAAAGGAAAATGACATGCAGAAAAATATGTGCAAAATGGAAGACACTTTGTTAAGGCTGTCAACATGCAAATTCTCACACACATACGTAATTTAATCACAGACAGTCCTAGAGACTTCAGTGTAAACAGCTGTGGTACAGAAGCATGTCTAAATTTTTACAGTGTGTCTAAACACTTAAGAGATTTAATTTACAAGACTGGTGCTGGATAGGGTCAAGAAAGATAGATGGACAGACATTAAACAAAGTAAATTAAGAAGATGTCCTTTTTCATACAGATGTTCAGAAAGTGACAAGAACTTTCAGAGAGGCTGATAGCTCTAATCATAGGCTTTTGTTCCTTTTTTTTTCCTGCAAAGGAATGCATAGCTTTACTAAACCAATATTCCTTAGCCTTTATTTCTCTGAATGAGAGACTAAAGAAATTTAAGAACCAAAGGTATTTGGGATCTAATTCAGTTGTTCATAACCTTTCTGTTTCAAATTTTGAAATTTCTCTGCCTAAAATGTTGTGACTACAGGAATTAGAATGTAATTATTGTATCATCTGGCTTATGAAGGAGGACAGAAAGTGGCTTTGAAGATCATGCGACTTTGCTCCAAGACTGAACAAACCGTGAAGTTAATATCACTACAGCTTGCTTTGAAGTTTTTGGTACAAGGAATTTGCTGTCCCTTGTCTGCAGATTAATAAACTGTCCTTGTTCAAACTCTTTCACTGAAAAGCCTCCAGTTAGAGGTAGGAAAAAACCAAATCAGGATGCAAGCCAGCCAGGAAAAACAAAGGAAATCTATTTAGGGGCTGTAGGACTGAGCACACATCAACTGCCTGGTACATGTTATAATTACAATTGATTCCAAAAAGCATTTCTCTTCAAAGACTAAAGAGGAAATGTCCTAACATGTACAGGTTTAATTATTATTAGATTTATTTTTTGTTGTTGTTTAAAATATCTTACTGAATTTAACACGATGATAAAAATAAAAAAGCAAGAATATAAAATAAAAGCTAAAGAGATGGGTATTGATTTAACCCTCCACCATCTGTAATACAAGAAGGGGGGGGTGGGATCAATGTTAAAGAGTTTATAACAAATATTGATATTAACAGCTCTGAAGGACAAGCATGGGAGGCAACGGCTGCAGTTATTAGCTCCGGCTACCCTTTTATTTCTCACAAGAGCTTCTGCCCAAATAGCAAGGGTAGCAGAAGAGACATCAGTGAAGATGGGGTTGTGCTAACACACCACCCTGAGCTATGGTGACTGAGGCATAGGCATACATAGGCTCCAGTTGAGTTTGCTATAGGAAGGGGGTAATCTCTGGCAGAAAAGCAGAGCTGCCAAACAAAGTACAGAAAATAAATTCTTAAACCATGACAACTGTTTGCTTCAGTGGATAAGATCAATTGTATGGGATATTTTATTGCTAAAATGTAGCAGGAAAGAAATATGCCAAATGAATGAACCCATGGATCTACCTGAAGCTGTATAACTCTTCTACAATGCCTCAGATATATTCTCATGAAGTCGTATAGCTGTCTCCTAGTATAAATAAAATGCATACTCATGCAAAAGCTGCAGCAAAAATGCTTAAATACAGTAAGAAATTCCTGAAAATAATTTAAGCTCAGAATAATTGCGTCAAGGGACATGAAAAAAGATGTGAGGCTGTAATTTTCAGCTAGACACTACAAGCAAGAGTTACCACATAAATTGCTTTGTGTACCTTCAACAGACATTTTCAGCATTGAACTTAGCTTCCTAACTCACTTAAATACATTTGTTAAATTTACCCAAGTCTCCTTCTCCTTTTACTTTCACTCTCATTAAGACATATGTAAGTAGCTTGCTCATTACTGGAACCATTTTTTCCTTTTTAAATACAAATGATATTATAAATTTGAATATGTTCAGTCCTGAAGCACTCCCGGTTACTTCAATGTCACACTGAGGTTTCAAAATTGCAATTATTGAAATGCACGTTTATTTCTATAGACTAGACTAGACTAGACTAGTTCAGTTGGAAGGGACCTACAACAATCATCTAGTCCAACTGCCTGACCACTTCAGGGCTGACCAAAAGTCAAAGCATGTTATTAAGGTGATTGTCCAAACACCTCTGAAACACTGACAGGCTTGGGGCATTGACCACCTCTCTAGGAAGCCCCTTCCAGTGTTTGACCACCCTCTCAGTAAAGAAATGCTTCCTAAAGCCCAATCTGAACCACCCGGGGTGCAGCTTTGAACCATTCCCATGTATGATATAGGAGACATCAAAAGAGCATGAGTGGGGCTCTGGAGTATTATTCTGGGTTTTTGTTTGTATACCACATCTGCTATATTAAAAACCCTAAACCTGTGAATATATCATTCATTTATATTTTCATAAAGATATGTCACATGGGAGAAAAGCTGCAGTCAATGTGCTGATGGCACTGCATGTGAAATAAAACAGATGTCAGGCTAAGAGCAGCATGACTGAAGTGTTTTGGTGAGTCAGTATTTGATTACTGAAATCAAATGTAGGCGTAGGAAAACATGATTTTCTCTGAACAAGGACATATCACGTGTTAAGAGCACAAGTGTGTATATGACATTACTTCTGTCATTAATAATTGTTGTTTTGATGTACTCAGATCAAAATTAGTAAGATATTCAAAACTAAGATGAACTTTGTTTTTTGAGACTGAGATAATAGAGTATCTGTGTAGAACCCTTTATATTTAATACTTTAGAACTCATTCACTCTGGAGAAGAGCTATGTGTTTTATTAGAAACTATACAAAGGTATAATGTAGATTTTTTTTTAAGATTATATGTAATTTAAAGACCCCTACAAAGCTAGAGTATTTTTTTTCAGAGAGTAGATGAAATGTTACCTAATGAAAAATTAAAAGCATGTTATCATATTCAGTCTGTCTTATACTACCTTTATGACCTAGACTTGTTATATATAGGTAAAATAACAAAAGAAAGTGTATGTGAGATATATTGACAATGAACTTAAGCTTGGTGATAATATTTTTCTGCAGAAACCAGGATGTTATGTTTCAAAGGAAGACAATAATAGCAGTCTAAGCCCCCAATGCTGAGGAAAAAAAAAAGGGTGGGAATTATTGTACTTCAATTTTTTATTTCAGCTCCCAACCTTAGGTGTTAATTTAGGCTATGATGGAGAAAACTTGAGATCCCATAGCAGAGAAAGAAAATACTCTGAAGTCCCCAACCTAGTTATTAATGTAGAGACAGATACTCATGCATGGTACTTCATCTTGACAGCAGATCCAAATCAGACAGCAACATTCTTCTAAGAAAGTAGGCAGCGATTAAAGAAGGCAAAAAGGAAAGTACAACCCTGCAACTTTTCTGACTGTAGAGGTTCAAAAACGTTGAAACTAACTGGAATTAATTCTAAACGTCAACCCAAGTGACAGAATTGTCTGAGGTGCAAAAATCCAGCCTATTTGTGACAGTGGGCCTGCCCCCAAAATCTCAGTCCTCACAGATTATTCACTCCTGCCCAGAGCGATTATATTTTCATTGCTGGAAACAAAGTATAGCACAATTCTGATATAAAAGTAGGATCTTTACAGGAAATAAAGAGTGGCTAAACAAAAACAATATATGGTTCTGTCAATACAGAAAGAAGCAAAATAAGAAAGTCTTTACTCAAAATGTTTTATTAATATTGTTATTAGAGGGGAAACCTCATGTAATACACATAATTCTATTATTTTTTATGTTATTAGAGGAACAATGACAGGTGGGGGAACCCCAGTAACCTAACTAGAACAAACATAACCTGGACTTGGCTCCCTTCAAGGTCACTATAAGAGGATGATGAAGGCATTGACTGGTTGTGAGATCTATTGAGAAGAGTCAACCAGAGAGGCTTTCCCTGGCTGAGGGGGATTACTGCCTACAGGCCATGAGATTCATTAGGGGATGCCAGGAAAAGCAGTTAGGGATTGTGAGAGACTTAAAATATTATGAGGCATTTCTGAGAAGGACCAAAGGCAAGGAAAAGGAGGGATCAAAGTGGACTGGGGAAGAACAAGCATGGATAATAGAGTAAGAAGAGAATGAAAGGGGAAATGTGAATACATGCTCAGACGCGTTACTGCATGGTCCTGGGGACATGGAGCTGCAGCAGCCTCACCTCTGCTGGGCTACTGGATTCAGCAATTCATAAGTATGTTGCTACCAGATTCAGCAATTCTTCATGCATATTAAGAGAGCCACTCCTGAAATAATTTCCATTCCCCTTTAATTGCTTCAGGCTGAGCTTCTTGGAGGAAGAAAAGAAAATCAGACAGTTCTGCAATTTTCTTATTAGCTATTGGCTAAGTTCTAACAATGTTTTCTAACCTGTGAGGGGATACTGATTTTTGGATGGGTAGGAAGTTTCAAGACAGTTAATAACCCACTTAGAAAAGTTACTAGAGGAGATAAGAGAGTCCTGTCCTTCAGATTTATTGAAAACCGTAACTGCCCTGGCTCATTTAATACATGTCTCTATTCTGTAATATCCATTAAGAATGACATATAGAAATGAGTGCCTGAATCAGTGAAGGAAGCAAAGATAGTAATAGTCATTTTTCTAGATGCTGAATGTTAAAAGGAAATCAAAACTGTAAAATCTGCATAAAAACAAATTGCTAAATGATTTGAAACACATAATTAGATAAAAGAGAAGTGAAATGGTACATACTTTCACCTTTCTCCTCAGCAGCCTCTAGAGATTGATCTTCCTCTGATGTCAGTATTTCTTGCATTTCTCTTCTGTAAGTAAAAGATTATTCATCTTAAGTTATTGTCTCCTTGCATCAAAAGGCTGGACTAATGAAAGGCTAATGAAAATGCATCTAGGAAGAGAATGTCCTACCACTATATTTACTGATCTAAATGAGATATTCCTCAAAGTTAACACATTTTGGATTATTTCCTATACATCACAACTAGTCTTAGTGTGCTAGTTTAGTACATTTGTGGTGATAAATGCACTGATACCTTTAACACAAAGTAAAGCTAGAATTTTCTTGTGCTCATTTTATACATTCAGATATTTGGAATATTTTACCTTACTTCTTCTTCTTTCTTTTCTAATGCTTCATCTGTTAGTCTTTTCAAAATCTTAGAATTAATTTCATCCTTATTTGCTAAGTATGCTCTGTGCAGTATACAGACTCCTGCAGTACAATTACACAACAGTAATCAGTTTTATGCATCTGTATAAAATGAAAGTTGAGTTAGGAAAATTATTTAATACATAATAGACAACTTTCCTACTTTTTAAAGCCAAGAAAAGGCACATATACCACTGAAATATTATTATACTGTTGCTTTCTAAGATTTTAGAGCTTTGTTTTCAATTTCAAGCACCTAATAAACTGAGTCTGGGATATGGGAAGGTTATGATGAAGGCTATAAGGGGAGACAGGTAGACAGCACTGAAAGAATTTATCTTATATTTGTGTATATCATGCATTATTCTGGCACTACTTTTGTTTGTATGTGTATGAAGAAAACTATGAAGAAACAAATGAAAAACATTAAAATAAAAATATCAAGAATGTACATACCTATACTACTACAGCTGGTTGACAGAAATGAAGAAAATGCTGTTCCTACTAGGAACTCTACTGACTTATTTACTTTGGCAAATATATTTATGATATATGGCTGTATGGCTGAAATCCACTTCCATCAGTGGAGTTACGTGAGTTTAGACTAGTTCAGGGAATAGCTTACAAAGTACTGACTCAAAATGCTGTGAAAATGTAAACTCCACAACTACATTATTATTTAAGCAACAGAAATTAGGGGGAATCAAATAAAAAGTTAACACAGTTGCTCAAATGGAAAAAAAAAAAAAAAGGAACAAAATGAAACAAAATAGCTAAATTCAAGAATACATATCCATAAGCAAAAAGCTACACTTTTAGCCAAACCATATAGCAGACATTGTGATCTTGTCTCTTTCACCTCACTTTACTCATACTTGTTGCTCCCATATCTCACATGATCACTATCATCATCTAACGTAAAATGTATTTTTATTTAAATTTTGACTGTGTGAAACATGTTACTTAACTGTTAGAAACATTGGTGTTGATTTGAAACAGATGATAATTTTGTGTGAACGGTTTATATTTTAAACCAATACTTTCAATTAAATGTATTTTTGAAAAAGGGATGGTGAGTGAAGGGAATTTTTAAAAAACATAGTTTGTAAACTCATCTTTAGATAATTCTGTTTCAGTATTCTTCTGCAAAAAAGTTGTGAGAGTTTTCAGTGGCATTGCCTGGTGGCCCAGGCATGCACTTTCTCATCTTTGTGTTTTCTCACAGTATTATGAAAAGCATCAATGCCAAAAAGTATTGATTTACTTCATTATTCAGAGTCTGAATGACATTGAACTGAAGCGAAGCAGCTTTAATTACAGAATTATCATACAGAGAATATCCAGAAGAATCACAGTTACTATGCTATTAACTAACCATTCTTTCTTCCTTGGGTACCAGCATATGTGTTTCTTACTCAAAGGATTCAGTATTTCATTTGATGAAGGAGTTCAGTATTACTTGATCAAATTGAGCAAGTGACCTATAAGCCTTTAGAATAATGGATAATAAATTAGCAAAGTCCTAAGTGGCTGACCTGAGAATATCTGCTACTGGTATTAAACATAAATAAGCTAGCTTGCTAATGGAGCAGGTTTGTAGGCAGCTCAGCTGATTCTGGTTGAAAGAACAATGTTCATGCAATGTCCTGTTTTAATGCACCTTGAAGACTGTTAAGAAAGTCTCTATGCCTGTATTATATCTCACTTTGATTTGTTATGATAGGCTACAAATAGTACGATTTGTACTTAATTTGTGCATGACTTGTTTCAAGCCAAGACCGTAAAAATATATGCTTTATTATTTAAAGTATGTTAATTCATTTCTTCCCACCAGTGAATGAAACTTTGAAGAAAAATAAGTTGATATTGATTCATTTGAAAGCCTGATACAGCTCCAGGGATAAAATTCAGGTATAGACTCATTATCATCTGAAGATTTTAGTTAAGAAGTTAAGGTGTTACAAAATTTCACAAAGCTATATTACTAAGTAGTGTAGGTAGTGTAGCTGAGTTGTGAGGATGATTAGCTGATCAGATGACATGCTTTTTTTTTTTTTTTTTTAATAAGAAACCTGTTCTGAGTAAACTGTGAAACCTTGATTTACTCAGGTTGATTTTTATATTCAGGGACAAGGGTTTGAAAAGCTCTCTGGACTTTCTAATATCAGGCAGTTACTGAGCTTTCTTGAGCTAAGTATGAATAGACCTATCATTCCTTTCTTGAAGGGAAGTTTCTACTACTGAAAGACCTTTTGATAATGGACCGGGTTGAACAGGTAATGATCAAACATTGCCACAGGGCAATGAATCTTGTAGTATGTTATGAATCAAGCAGACATAATCCATTAAGACATGATTTGTCAGGCAAAACTTTTTTCATGCCTGATACCAACCTTCCTTCCTGCTTGAAACAATGAAGTAAAAATCCCTTCCTCTGAATTCATGGGCACTAAGCTTTTGTATCAACCTGGATAAGAAGTTGCTCGACTTCTTTTGACCCCAGGATGGGGAACAGGATACACCTGCATACAGGTATTTCTCCCCACCTTTTCTCTCAAGCAGAGAAAGTTCTTATCTCTAACCTGATTTTGCAAGTGGGGAAACTGATGTGAGGTGAGGAAATTTGACTGAGAGCCGCATCGCAAGTGGGTGGCCAGCCAGACACAGAATACAAAAGTCTGCAAGTGCAAGAGTCCAGTGTTATGTACTGCTGATTGTAAATAGGAGGAAATTGTAAATAGGATTATAAATAAGAGGAATTTTCTTCATTGCTTTTGTAAAGCATTCCTGTTTTCAATTCTAATTCCCTTAAATCAAATTGTAAGAAATTTGGAGTACCCTTGTTGATTCACTGGATTCTTCCTTGTCTAGACCCCTGAAACTTTATAAATGGGACATAACTACTAGTTTTTCTTATAAGTGTGCTTTATATATAGCTATCAACACAGAAAAAAAGAAAAGAGTAAGTTTCATTAGTGTGCATTTACTAACCATCTTTTTCTGTATTCTTCAGACAGACAACAGTGTCAGGTAAAAGTCCTTTTTCTGATAAAGCTGACCAGTGATCTACTGACAGAGGGTAGTTATCCACTACCCATCCTCCTTTTTCTGGAGCACCAGGAAACCTGTCTTTGTTCTTCTTCATAAGCTGTTATAAAATGTCAGATTCAGTAACATGAAAAGACTAAGAGAGACTGTGAGCTGTTCAAAAAGACTGCACAATACAAAATGATTTTCTAAACGTTATGATTTTCCCTATTGTCATTTCAGGTCAATGAAAAGTAAGACATTTATAATGTTATCTGTCTGAATGAAATAAAAACATTTTAATGTGATTTTTTTAAGGTTGCCTACAAAGAATTTAGATTCCAATTTCAGTAGTTAGAAATCAGTGAACAAATTTAAAACAATTCAAGGTTCTTGGATAACCCTTCAGATACAATTCTTTTCCAACACTTGTATCTGGTGTTGAGCTCTTTAATAGTGACTAGGAGTATAAGAATAGGGCAAGCATACAGCAATACTTTCCTCAGATAATTCTCAGAGCCTTTAACAATTTGTAGCCCAGGTATTTTGCAAGACAGAAGTAATTTGTGTATATATATAGTAGTCCAAATAGATTTGTCTTTCATGATCTTGCTCAGTCTCTCCTCAATCCTATGTAAGCTTTCAGACTATGCGATATAAACTAAACTGATCTTTCAAACGGAAAAATTAGGAACATATATCAATAATGTATGAACTGTTACAGGTTGCTCTTAGAAAAAAAGTGCTTTGCTATATAGTACTTGTAGTTTTACCTCTGCAATAGCTTTCTCCAGTACTTCAGCATATATTCCAGGTGACAGTGTAACTTCGGAGACTGATGCACTTTTTATGGCTTCTTCTACCATCGCTTGAACTTCTGGGTGGTCAGCAGTTATCTCTGACATTCCTAACAATATAGATCTTTTAAAACACTTCACAAAATTCTGAAATACTCATTTCCTCTGGTCAGGAATAACTGCTAGGCAACTAAATCCAGCTGCATCATAATTATAGTGCAGCAGTCATTTTAAGCTGCATTTTAGTTACACAGTCATACTGAGAAAGACTCAAATAACAGTTCTTCTGAAGGCACTTCTAAAGGGTATTTCATAAAGATAAGTTTTAAGATCTTGGTTTGCTCTCTCATTACAAAAACCCCCAACTTTTTAACTGTACAGTATTTTTGACCACTAAGTGAAATTTTGTTTCAATATGAATGGAATGACATTTGTGTACTAGAACAATCAGGCACCTGCAGCACCTGAGAATTTCCTTTGATTTGATTCCTCTTTGATTACTAAATCAAAAAGTTGACCCAGATTAATTTAAAAATCAATACAAATCATAGATCATGACAGTATATTGTCAACAGTCAAGAAGCCTGCATTCCCTAAGATGCATGAAATGTTCATATTGGATCCATAATTTGTTATTAATTGCTGACACAACAGACTATAATTATTTAAAATTTTTTTAAGGAACACTCAGAGTTAGTTCACAGTTTACATACTAATTTGATAAAATTGGTGAAGAACTGTTTTAAGCAACTGCAATATCTACTATGTGAAGAGTATAATTTGGAAAAAATGTCATATTTACTTTCTGTAATTATGCCAAGATTTTTCACTGATTGTGTTGATACATTTTACATGCACAAATTTACACATTATCAGGTTATTTTTGCCAAGTTACAAGCTCCCTGGGAAAGGGACAATATCTTACTAAGTGTTTCCATTCTGTAAAAAACCTCAACTCAAACCCAAAACCAAACAGACTTTACAGTTATCATAGCTAAAGATATTCTACTTCTCCAGTTCAAGAGACAGATCTTTCTTTAGTGCTCTCTTCAATATCTTTTGCTGGTATAGAATGTCATAAATTGAAGAAAGAATATAATTGAAGGAACAAATATTTTTCTTTAAAAAGACAAAGAATTTTGTAAAAGCTACCTTACAACCCACATTTATTTCATTTCCATTTTAGATATTTATAAATAGATTTCATTAATGGCCATTAATTGGATCTACCTAATCATCTATCTTCCTTGGTTGAGATGAAGTGTCAGTCTGTTCTGTATGAAAAACATACTACTATTTGTAAACTATGTAAGGCTTACAAACATATTCATTTGTTTAAATATATTTCAACAAGTTAATAAAAATTCAGCATGCTTTTAAGTTTCTCATATTCAAGTGGCAAAAACTCCCACTCCTGAATTCAGATCCTCTCTTCACTTTTTTTTTGTATGTGAATTAACACCTATTCTCCTTATCTATTAAAAAATTCTGAAACAATCTTTGCTATAAAAAGATATGTAAGTGAAAATACCAAACTTTTCATCGAAATACATGCTTAGCTCCTACAAAGGTCAGTGGGAGTTTTGCCCCTTTACATAATGTTGTATTAATGGGTTAATATCTTTCAATGACAAAATTAACCATTTCATTTTAGGTTTCTCAAAATGACAGTATCAGCAACAAGGAAAAAAAATTAAATAGTCCTGCAAGTGTAAATGAGGAAAAAAAAAAAATCTTTCACTTTTTAATTTGCAAAACACACTGAAGGCATGGAATGACATGCTTAAAATAGCTAAGATTTAGTTTTTACTTTTTACTTTTTTGGATGATGGCAGATTTTATAGTATTCCCTTCTTCCAAGTTTATTCCCTCTCTGGTTTGAGTGGTTTCTTCAGAATCATCTGCTGCTTTGGCACTACTACGTTCTTGCAAGTCTCCTATAGTTATGAAATTGTATTAAATTAACAGAAACCTAGATCAGTTGAAAATCCTTTAATACAAATACTTCAACACAAAATCCATCTGATTAAACCAGCTACACGTCAGCCTTCTCTTTATCTGCAGCCTCCCAATCTGTGGAATCCCCCAACACACCTCCTAGGAGTCACAAGCACTTTTCTAGCCCTCATGAAGGCAAGACTAGTACCCATCAGCCTGTGAGACACAAATGGCTCTCTAGCAGTACCAGATTTTATATGCCTCTTTTTCCCCTTAAAAGAGATCAAAAATATAACAAAAGCCAGAAAAGAGTTAAAAAATACACAAGTCCTGAACACTTCAACAGATTTAATACCCTCCCCTGTTTTTCCCCCAAACAGAGTAATGTGGTTGATTGAGTTGGATGTCACCTGAGCACATTAACAGACTGGGACCCTCTGAGCATGTATATATTACCTTTTTAGTTTGCATCAGAAAAGTATGTTTTAAGTGAATCTCCTGATCTTCCCCATGCTTTGGTACATGTGGCAAAGCACTCTCGGAACATGCAAACTAATTGATTCCTTCCAGATGCACATTTACTATGCAGAAATCATTAAGTGTTCGGCCCATAACATCACAATACAGCTAGTCTGAAAGTCCTCTGTGCATGATATGGATATTGAGTCCTGTCCTGGCTTTGGCTGAGATAGAGCTAATTTTCTTTCTAGTAGCCAGTATAGTGCTGCATCTTGGATTCAGTATGAGAATAATGTTGATAACGCACTAATGTTTTTAGTTGTTGCTACATAGTTGTAGTGTCTACATCAAGCCAAGGACTTTTCAGCTTCTCACGCCCTGCCAGGTGCACCAGAAGCTGGGAGAGCACAGCCAGGACAGCTGACCCAGCCTGGCCAAAGGGATATTCCCTACCATAGAATGTCATGCTCTGGATATAACTGGGGAAGCTAGCTGGGAGGCGGGATCACTGCTCAGAAACACACTGGATATCAGATTGTTTGGGTTTTTTTCCTTTCGCATGTGGTGAGCAATTGCATTTGTGTATTGCTTGTATTGTTGTTGTTATTATTATTATTGTTGTTATTATTTTTATTATTGTTCTCTTCCTTTGTTATCCTATTAAACTGCCTTTATCTCAACCCATGAGGGTTTTTTTCCATTCTCCTCCCCATCCTCTTGGATGGGATGATGTGGCTGCATGGTGCTTGGTTACCTGCGGGGGCTAAACCATGACAAGTCCTTAGGACCAACTGCTTCCATCTCCTGACCTACTCTGACATAAGACAGAAACTCTGTGGACTTCAGTGGAGCTGAATAGCCTCACTGTCTATCCCTGAACTGGACTTGGGAGCACTCAGGACAGTCAGGGGGCCATTTACATAATTAAACTGATATATGTCTTTTGCATAATTTTTTAATGATTCTCTGTAATTCTCTCAAGAGGCAGAATTTACTAGGTAATTAATTAAATAATTTTGTTAGGAATAGGAAATACTTTCTGGGAGAGTTACCTCTACATCTAGATTCAAGCTTCCAAAAATATTTTATTTCCCCTTCTGAAGCTTTCTTACTTTCTATGACAATTTACATCTTTCATCTGTTTGTAGTTCTGTTTTTCAATAAAATTGCTTGAGCTCTCCAAGGTTATTAATTAGGATTAAGTTCCCACATAACTGTCCTCAAAAGTATTTACATAGCCAGGAATCTGGAACATAACACTGTTTAACGATTTTAATTTTCGTGTCATTGTTCACCATTATTTTTACTGCAACGCCAATGATTTTTGTATCACTGTGAGGTTCTATCTTTTGTAGCACCAGAGGAATATACTGACTTCTTGTGAGATATGTTTCTACGCATGAGCAAGTCAAATACGGTGATTCCTTGCTTAGCTGAATAAGGCAAAATGGCCTGATTGTCCATTTGAACCATAACTAGAGCTAACTGGAAAAGGCAGTTCCAATTCAATGGAAGATTTTCATTTCAAGAGAAATCATTTTGAAAAACACCCACAAAATTTCCTTCAAAAAGAAAATCCAAATTTTGTTTAGAAGATATTAAAAGAACATCTTATTTTTACCTTTTCAAAATATTTTCTGAATTTATCAAGCTGGAAAAACCTGGACAGCTTAAGAAGTCTAAATGTGACCAGAGTTGGAGAGTTGTGAATGTGCCATCTGAGACACCATTCATGGAAGACTGCTCCAAAGTGGAAAATCTGTTGATTGTGTATTCACATCAGCCTAGCTGACAAGCTGCTTTCTTGAAGAAAATTTCAATTTTGCAGAGATATAACTTGTCAGCAAGTCATTCAAATTGAAAGTTTCCAACCAGTATCAGTCAGAATCAATTTCTTCCTTTGGAAAAGAGCTCAGAAAATTCTTTCTTGCATACTTGTGGCCCTCAACTTCAGAGGTTTTATATATGATATCAAAAATACTGAATTCTACTCAGCTATTCCCTTCACTGCATGTTCTTTTAGTTTATATTTAATGCTCAACAACCATAACAACTTCTGTAATATTTTATAAGTCAAAGTGACAGCAATTGCTTCAGTTAAATAACCTAAAGCAAATCAGATTGCTTCAAAGACCATGGAACACTTTATTCACCTGGTTCTCTTGACTGGTTTTCTAATTCCAACCTATTTTTCACTGCTGTTATAGCCTTTTCTACTGCATCCTTTTGCACTTGCTCAATGTTTTCTTTTCTTAATTCTTCTATATGGGGTTGAATGAGTTTGGCCATATCAAGAACCTAGTGAAATGATTTGAAAAAAAAAATCACAGAAGAGAAATATAAAATCTGATCCAACTTCTATTCAATGAAATTAATTTGGAAAAGCTCTGCAAATTTCAGAAAAAAATATATATAATTCAAGTGCAGGGTTTTTTTGTGGAAAAAATAGTTTCTCACTCACATTTACATTTAATTATCTTAGATACAAAAGTTATTAATAATTTTCTTATGCTAAGACAAATAACTGACACAAATATTTGTCCTACATAGAGGGTAAATATGTATATGAATTCATTTCACTGAATTACTATTTCCTGTGTAATCCATATGTTTGCAATGTGTATGTTAGTAACTTAACAGGAGTAAGAATGTGCTTAACTGATTCCCAAGCCTCAGTTGATACCCTTGTTTCTCAAGACATTTATAAACCTACCTTTCCTTTATATTTGTCTGCAATTAGGTTACAAATAGTTGTTCTTCCAGAGAATGGAGGACCAAATACTAGTACTTTACAAGGAGGAAGTGGCATTGGTGGTAACAGGTAAGGCCGTGGATTCGACATGAATGTTTTCAATGCCTCTGGGGATGACAGTAGGTACATTTTACCTAGAAAACTTAAAACAGAAGAGAAGCTAACAGATATAGTCAGTTATCTTATAAAATAGAAATACAAATAAAAAAGTATCAAATTCTGCTAACCTGACAGCCAAGTCTGGGTTTCCCATTACAATATCACCTTCCTTTAGAGCCACAGGACATGCTTGTCCCCACCTGCTTCTACGCCATCGATATCTGTGTGCTATTAGTTTGTAAGATGACAGAACCCGGAAAAGTTCATCCTGTTTATTAAAACAGCAATAAGAGCATATGTAATTTTTGTCTGAAGCTACATATGCCTTTTTCTAAAAAGAAAAGCACATCACGCTTCTTAGAATCTTTTTTAAAAAAAATAAAATTTCAGAATTGTAGGACAATTTTAAGGAGAAACTATTTAGTTTTTCAATTTTATTTAATAAAAATAGTTTCTGTAGGCTTAATTTATTATTTTCAGAAGTTTAAAACAACAAAGAAGTACATATCAGCCATTTATTGAAGATGACAGAAAATGGCCAAAATTTCTTCTAAAGGGGATGAAGAAAGGACCACAATCTGTGTGTGGGAATAGCAAGGCCCCAATATCTGTTTTAGGCATGCATAAATGTCATGTGATAGTGTTGTCCCAAAACTGGGGATTCGTTTACCTAGTGTGCAATACACCAATATACACACAGAGCAGAGGTATTTTATTGCATATTTGCGCAGATATGGGTGTCTGTCCCAAGACAGCACCCTGAATCTACAAATCAACGGTCATTTATACACTTAATATTAACATACTCATCTTTCTAATACATATGTATTGTTATTCTATTAAATGATTGGTTTAGATTTCTTCATCTAACTTGCAAATGAGAATGCATGCTCAGTTCTTTTCTCCGCCTTTATCTTTTGAGTAGGTGGTATAATTGCGGTAGGTGGTCCATGGGTTAGTGGTCGCAATTTCCCCTGCCGGAATTACCTTTCCCCTAATTTCCTGGTACTTTTGGCAAGCCCAAATGGTTCTTCAAGGCTTGTTGGTCAAACTAGCAATTTATCAGTTATGCTTCTACTTCTTGACAATCACATGTTAATTAGTACATTGTTTGGATAAACAGTAATTAACACAGGGGTAGGACTATACAATGGTCATTCTTAGCAGCAATAGTCTTGGTTACATTTGATTTTGCTGTAACAACAGGAGTAAGTTTAATAGACCTTTTACAGAAGGTGAATAGTGAGTGAATCGAGTTTATGGTGACTCTAAATTATTCAGACTAGTACAGACAAGTGCTGGTTGTGAAGAACTGCAAAAGGACCTTCAGAATCTAGGAAGCTGGGCATTCAAATAGCAGTTTTACACAGAGCATGATGAATTGTCATTGACTCTCACTACTCAGGAATAGATCTTGGAGTTACAATACCTACTTCCATGAAAACATCTGGTAAATGCCCAAGAGCAGTCAGAAAACCAACCTGAATGTTAGGAATGTTTAGCAAAGAGAGAACAGAAGGTAAAGGTGGTTTGGGTTTTTTTATTATTGTATAAATCCTGCACTCATCTTTACCGCTATGTGCATTCTGCTGCCCTAATCTCAAAAAGTATGCAGTAGAATTGGAAGAGTTTCAGAAAAATGTAATGTGACAGATCAATCACACAAAAAGATTTACATGTAAGGAGAAATAAGATTAAGTAGACTGGAACTCTCCAGTCCAGGAACAAGACAGCTACATAAGAACAGGACAGAAATCTGAAATCATGAGTTATTAAGAGAACAGATACAGAGAACAAAACTATTTACTGACTTTTGCATATCAGCAGCTAGAGCTGACTGAGCTAAAAGTTGGCAAGTTCAACACAAAGGGAAGCAATTCTGAATATAATGTCCAATTAAGCTGCAGAACTCTGTGCCCCAAATACAGTGGATGCTAAAAGCTTACACACAGACTAGCACAAACACACAGACTAACTAAATAATAAATTCAGATGACCTCTGACAAAGAAAGTCCTTCACTTGTGAATTTGTCAGGGACTGAGAAAACAGAAGAGTGAAGAGTGTTTCACTGAAAATGTACAGTGGGGTCTCCCAGTTAAAGTACTATTCATATATTCAAAGTTTTGTTAAGAAATAGGAAAGATGACTGCAAATGAATATAGGTGAAGACATTTATGCAAAGACTTCTGTTTTTTTGTTTTATTGAATGGACACAAATTATCATGATTCAGCAAAATTCAGCACTAACTTGTCATGTTTCTAATTAATGACAGGAAATACAACATATGTGATTTCAGCTATGCAGGATGTTGCTATATTTGTATTAGCATGCTGTTTCTCATTCAGGAAGAGAAAGTGAGCTAAGAGTCAACTGCTGAGATTGTTATGCTTTGGGTAAAGTTTCTTTATTTTCTTGGAAGGAATTAATTCTTCCTCTATTGCTAAAAACAAACATTCTGTTCAAAATTTTATTATAATTATCTAACTTTTTTTTTTAATGACAGACCTTTTTCTTTTCATACTCTTAAGTGTATTTCAGTCCCAGAATTATCTAAAATTCACATTTCTGGAAAATCAAGGCTCAAAAAATGCCCTTATTGCATGGTAAAACAAACTGGTTGCTGTGAAACAAAGATGTTATAAGCTCACAGCAGAAAAGAAAAAATATTTTAATAATTACTACAGTCAATCACATTTTAGAAAAGCACACTTACATTTTCCAGTCCCTCCAGCATTTCTTCTTGCTGACTTTGAAGTCTAGTTATAGGAGCTCCATTTCGAACACCCAGAGATTGAAGTCGAACTACCACTGACTGAAGAGAAAATAACTCTTAGTACTAATCAAAACTGCTTTTGTAATCCAAAAGGACTCCCAATGTATTTTCAAAATTGTAACTTAGCATTTCTATAATGGCTACATATACACTAAGGCCCAGTTTCTAGCTTGGAGTCACGCTAGTTATTGAGCTGAGTTTGGTAGATACAGGCAGTGCAAAATGCTGAATCACAGCCTTTGTATCTCCTCATTATGCTGTGAATCACAAGCCTTCTAAAGGAATAGGCTGTGAAGGATTCTTTCCCACAAAGCAGTGGAAGTATTCAGATGAGCTTCAATCTGAAAAGGAGGAAAGTCTCTTTAGGAGATCAGATTATGCACACTTGGAAGTAATACCACTTTGGGTAATTTATTTAAAAAGATACTTAAACCAGATGTCTGCCAATGAGAATTAGATGATATTAAATTTAATTGAAATATTTCCTGAATGTAATCTTGCTTGAATGCAAGTGTTCTTGAAATGAAAAAGCAAATTTTGTCATGTTTGGACTAATTTCATAATAGGTCTTTGCCTTACTTATAGGTAAAATGGTTGGAATCATTACACAACTTGATTGCCTTTACTATAAATTTTCTGTTGTAATGTTCACAAACAGATCATAAATAGGGAAATTCTGTGTTCCAACTCTGCAAAATTAGTAGATTGTTCCCCGTAGGACTATACTTAGTAGTAAAGTTAAGCATGAATTGAAATACTACTTACAGAATTATAATTGATTCAATTTGTTTCAAAAAACAGAGGGGAAACTACAGGAGCAGCTCACTTCCTACATTGTTAAAGACAATCTCTCACTTCATTTTCAACCCCATACTTTAGGTTCTGACTTGAAGCAACTCTTATTTCTGAGGCAGAGGATAAGGTTATTTATCTTCAAATTTTATCATTGTATTTTTTTAATAGGGAAATGAGTTGCTATGTTATGAGATAAAAATCTAGACACAAGCACTCAGCAGAATTGTTAAAAGAATGAAGTGTCTTCTATTACACTGTAAAACAACATCAAAGTTCATAAAACCTCTGTCATTATTTTAGACACTAGCACAAAATAAGACAATTCTGTAAACATATCATACTGAATTTTTTTTTTTATTATTTCTCATGTTAATAATGATATTTTACACTAATACACAAAATAAAGCACTAAAACCAGAGGGATACAATACAAAGGAGTTTGTAGCCTGCCTGAAAATATTCTCATGTAACATATATGTAAGCCTGGGGGCAATGCAGTAAATTTTATAACTATTTTACTAGAGCAACAAAAGCAAGCATTTCAAAGGTCATGTTTTCTAATAGTAATTAAATGAGTTTTATACACAACTTAAAATTTTGCCAACACATTAATAAAGAAAACAATCCATAGAATTGAGAAATTGTTTTCTAGTGGAAGTTAACTAAGTTGGTGCATAGCTTACTTACTACAAAGAGATCATCTGGTTGCTGATTGCCATCCAGTTCAATAAGATATTGACAATCCTGTTCAGCCATCAAGTCCTGTTTAAGAACAAAGACATACTCATCAGCTGAGTACAGTTAACCAGATAATGACATTGGAGCTCATTCTGTTCCTATACATATCAAAGACTGGACTCCTGAGGACTTCAGCAAAACCAAGATTTGTTGCACTGATGACTTATGAGATCTTCTGGAGAGAAATTTTTATTTAGTGGTGGATAAATACAGAGAGAATTCCAAAATCGGAGTTACAATGGGTTCAGACAACAGATTAGATATCCTAACTCAAATGCAAGAGAGCTACAAAGAATCAAGATACCGTAATGTTCTGTATATGAATTCAACTTCTAATTGTAACTAATACATTCATCATTAGGGAAGCCTAAGTAAGACCTACCAACTAGTGGGACATGTTGAAAATGTTGAAGTTTGGTGTACATCCTGAAGTAATTTAATCTAAACAATTTTCCATTAGCTTGCTTACAAGAAATCCATGTGAGATTGTATAATGATTACAGATCTCCTATTTTTTGCTTTCTCCTTCACAGCAGTAACAAGGTTGTTACTTTAGCAAAGAACATTGTACCAGTTTTACACAACTTTATCTATACGTTTATCTAATCCATAGGGAAATTGAAGGGCATAAATAAACAGTAATTGTCAAGTGTGCAGCAAACATGAAGTTTTTGCAGTTGCTTGTACCAGAAGATCTAAAAAAAAAAAAAAAAAAAGAAGAAGAAGAAAACCCCAAATTGTTGCTTTGGATCTGTTTGGAGTTTTTGTTGGTTTGGTTTTTTTGTTTTTTGGGTTTGTTTTTTGGGGGGAGGGGGCGAGGGGGAGGGGGAGGGGGAAGATACATAGTAAATCAAGCTTTCCTGAACACAAGGAGAAAAAAACCAATGTCACAGGATAAAGCAAACTGATGGGCTAATTATTGGGTATATAAATCTGCAGGCAATGAAGGAGATGAGGAAGGGAACTTGTTGGAGTAGAAGGTGATGAATGCAAAGAGCAGGTTTCTTACAGGATTGTATACTACAATGAACTCTGGTAATGGTGATGATACACTGGGCTCTTCAAATACTTCACTTCCTAGATTAAGGAAGCGTCTGTGTGGGCAGGTATAGTTTCACTTTTAAAACTCAAAGTGGATTACTTTCTCTTTATTCCAGAGCAGAAACAACACCTACAGATGGTAACTTTCTATCACTGATTTCAGAACTTAGGGATATGTTGTAGGATGCCTTGTGCCCACCTCCATACAATAAATCTCAAACTTTAAAAAAAAAAGAAAATAGTACAAGATATTTTACAAGTCTTTTGTTATGCATAATCATATTATTTTGCTTTTTCTTACTTCTAAAGGATGAAGCATTATATCCTTATATGTTCCAACTCTTTCTTCTGCATTTTCAAGCATATCTTCAGGTCTCTGCACTAATTGATGCAAAAATTCTGACATCATAAGTGGATCTTCTGCAGTCTGCAGAATGAAAAGTTAAATATTTCAAGAAACAGAAATAAAATAATATACTAAACTAATTTTTGTCTTTACTCAAAGGTAAATAAAGGAGCTTTCCAGAGTATTGCCATGAGTATTAGCCCAGTGATTGCTGACCGTGATCCTATCCTGATGAAGTGTAGTTTTTGCAAACTGAAAGGAAGGTGCCTAGAACTTGTATTGATAAGTCTCTGGCCAGCATTATAAACCAGAACAATTCAACTTGAATTAAAAATTAATACCTTTATGAGAAAAAAAAGAAAGAAAATCCATTTCTAGTAGTATAATACCAAAACCAATAAATAAACTAGTATCCTGCAAATACTAGTAAAACTTGCTATAATAAACAAAAATTAAGAAATCTTTTATTTGCTTAGAGGAAGAAACAGACAATATGGAGTTGCCATTCTCCTGATACACCCTTTTAACTTATGGCAAGAAACAGTTCAGTGATTTCTGAGTTAGAGACTGAATCCAGGTTTTGCTACACAATAATCACCATTTGCTGTCATTTAAATCTACCATTTAAGTATTATCCTATGAAGCAGAACAGAAACTGAATTAAGATTAGAGTTCAGCAAAATTAATTCATAATTTAGTATGGTGATATTTTAGAATATTGAAATTTGTTCTGCTTTGTACATTATAATACTTTGCACTGTTTAGAAATTAGCAATATTTACCTCTTCTTGCTGCTCTTCATCTTCTTCATTCTCGTCTTCATGCTTATCTTTCTCTTTCTTATGCTTTTCAGTAACGTTAGGATCCCACTGGTTCCTCTGATATACCTGCCCTGAATCAGGGTGTTGCCTTTGTCCTGATATTCTTTGGCATAAGTCATAGTCTGAACACTAGCAAGGAATAATTAAAAGGAAACAATGTGTTTATTGTACTGCTATAATAATATTTTTTTTTCCTGAAACTGCAGAATGAGGGGTAGGAGTCTAGCAAATATTTGAATTCATAAACTTCTTTTCCAATACCATTCTCAAAAGCAGCAAATCCTAAAGCAAGACTTAAACACACAGTTTTTTCCCCATCAGCATTTTACATTCCATATCAGGAGCGTACCCACTACTTCAGCACATTTTACCTTGTACTATAACAAATGTAAGAATAGTTTATGCATAAAAGTATTTTGCAGACAAGCTTGTGATTGCTCTTGCAATTAATTCTAAAGCAGTTTGGACTTGAGCAAGAGGTCTCAGTTGACTGCAGGTTAGCAAATGTGATGTCCATCTAAAAGAAGGGCCGGAAGGAGGATCCAGGAAACTATCATCTGGCCTGTCAGTCAGACCTCAGTGCCGGGGAAGGTTGTGGAGCAGATCATCGTGAGTGCCATCATGCGGCACATACAGGATAAGGTGATCAGGCCCAATCGGTATGAGTTCATGAAAGGCAGGTCCTGCTTGACTAAACGGATCTAATCTCCTTCTGTGACAAGGTGACCTGCTTAGTAGATGAGGGAAAGGCTGTGGATGTTGTCTACCTGGACTTTAGTGAAGCCTTTGACACCATTTCCCACAGCATTCTCCTGGAGAAACTGGCTGCTCATGGCTTGGACAGATGTACTCTTTGCTGGGTAAAAAACTGGCTGGATGGCCAGGCCCAAAGAGTTGTGGTGAATGGGGTTACATCCAGTTGGTGGCTGATCATAAGTGGTGTTCCCCAGGGCTCAGTACTGGGGCCAGTTCTGTTTAATATATTTATCAATGATCTGGACGAGGGGATTGAGTGCATCCTCAGTAAGTTTGCAGATGACACCAAGTTGGGCGGGAGTCCTGATCTGCCTGAAGGGTCGGAAGGCTCTACAGAGGGATCTGGACAGGTTGGATCGATGGGCCAAGGTCAACTGGATGAGATTCAACAAGGCTCAGTGCCAGGTCCCACACCTGGGTCACAACAATCCCATGCAACGCTACGG